TTAAAGAATATCACAATCGATATGAAACCCTATTACTTTTGAGACCCTTCCATCATTACAAGGCAAAAGGATTATTGGAGAATCTGACCTTTTGAGTAATGGAAGATGTATACCAATAAAATTCCTTTAACTAGGTGTGGTTACTGAAAGATATCATACTGAAACAATATGATTCAGTTTCTATTAGATTATATAAGAACCTAGGATTTATCATAAGTTACTTTTCTATCACAGATGGATAAAAAATCATTGTCCAAAGAAGGTTGGAATCAAGTGTGTCCTAAAAGTAAAGACTTTCACTAGGCAATAAGTCTCCTCAGATGGTACTCAAGAAGGAAATAAAGATTAAAAATGGATAAGTTTCTCAAATGGTCAAGAAAAGAAAGGACATTTCAATTGGGTATTTCTTATCTTGAGAAGCAAGTCTTTGAAGAAAGCTGGAAATATTTTTTTTCAATTATTACTTTTTTATTTTTTTGTTATCTGTTTAGATATTTTTAGATATCTCTCTTCTCTTTTTTTAATCTATTCTTTTGTAGTTTTCTGTATTTCAGTGGCTTGATATGACATACGGTAATGATAATCTACTAGCAATAATGCAGTGGACTAGAAGGGTTTTTACCCAAAGACATTGCAAAGCGAAATATTGTTTTTAAGATTGAACTTAGAGACTTTTAAGCTTATAATGAGTTACAGTAGTTAGATTAGAGTAATAGTTTAGATATAGTATGTATCATATTGTTCGAATGAAAATGTATTTACTTATATTTTCAATTTATTAATAAACTAACAATCTAGCCTGGCTATAGATACTTAAAAAAAAAAAAATAATTAATAAGAATATTAACAAAAAAAAAAAAAAACTCTTTCTTGTAATTTCCTTTTTTCTTAAAAATTTTCTTATAAGGAAATTTTTTTTAAGAAAAAAGTAAACAACAAGAAATAGCAATTTTAAAGATTAAATATAATATAGTGAACTTCTCTGTAGAAATAAGCTTTTTCTATAGTATTTCATTCAAGTACTTTAGACCTACAAAACAGTTGGATCAAGTAAAGGAGCTCTTTGTCAAATAAATAGGTAAGGCTTCATCTATATACTTTAGTAACTCTAAATAACAAGTTTTCTCTTTTTTACTTGCTCCAGGTTTTTTTAAAAAGAAGAGAAAATATTATCTAAAAAAAGAAAAATGTCAAGAAGACAAGAAATAGAATAAATCAAAGAATAAACAATCTTTGCCTAAATAATTTTTATCTCCCAAGGTATATAAATGTTCTAAGTATAGTGAAGACTTTACCAATTATATTTCATGAAAAAAACATTTCAATAAATATCACAAACTAGATACAGTACTATAGAAGTTAATAAATATGTCAAGCAAAGAAAAAAATATAAGATAGTCAATCAAAAAATCAAGATTTGTTTTGCTGAAGTATTAGCCTGAAAGCCTTCCAAAAAAATATTCAAAAACAATTGTGATAAGCTTGATAAATGGATAGTACTTGAATTAGTAAAGCAAGCAGGGAATAAACTTGACAAATATTAGATTCATTCATCTAAGGAATAGGAGATTGGTATTCACAATTACACTTCTACTACTAGTAGTTTTGAACTAACTATTTAAGATTTCAAGACTTATTTAAAGTTTACCTTCTCTATACTTGAAGAGCCATTCAAAGATAAGTTTGATGAAACAATAAATGATCTTGATTTCTATCACAAATACAAATCCTTGTTGATAGATGTACAATGTAAAGAAGTCAACTTTATCAATGAAACTTTTAAGAATAGTTAGAAGATAAGACATTGTCTTTATTATTCCTATATTTAAGTTAATAATAGAGTAAATATTATATTAACAGGATGTTAGATAATATCAAGAATTTTGATAATCCTTTTGTTGAAAAATTTTGATAAAAAAAGAAATTCACTGATCATACTGAAGTGTTTAAAAATCTATAATATAAGTTAAAGTATAATAATAGTTTTATAACAAGATTATTTTTTAAAATTGTTTTAAAAAAAATTAAGAAAGTATTGAATCTCTTTCTTATAGTATAGTTTTTTATTTATAGTTACATTATTTTTATCTATTCTTATATAGTATTTATTATATATTATGAGTATTTGTAAAATTCCATCTTTATGAGTATAATAAAGTAAAAATAAAGATATTGATAAAATTCCTTTAACTAGGCATAGCTGCTGGAAGATATTGAGAGTTACTTAACAAGACTAAAAAGCTATATAAGAATCTGAGGTCCACTATTAATTATCTTCTTTTACACAGATGAATACAAAATCAAGATTGAAAGAAAAGAAGCATTGAGCAAGATATTGGATTCAAGTAGGTGATAAATATCTCAGATAGTCACAAGAAAATAATTAAGAGCAGAGATAGATAAGTTTTTCAGATAGTTAAAAAAAAGGATATCTCAAAAGAGTTGATTTTTAATGAAAAGAGGTTTTTAGCAAAGATCCTTTGAAGAATATGAAATATATACTGTATATATATATTTTTTATTTCCTTTTCATGTAATGTATTTGCATAGTTTTAGATATTTCCTTTTGTAGTTTTTCACATTCAATTTTTTGAAAAATAATAAATAGTGACAACTTGTTAGCAATGATGGATAAATTAGAAAGGTATTTATCCAAAATCTACTATTAAGTGAAATATTATTTCCAAGGTTGCACTTAGAGGCTGAAACTCTTTTGAAAATTGAAAGTCATTGATGAATGTGTTAGCATAAGTCTTTTATTTAGCTATAATACAATTGTTCTATATATCTCTATTGGTTTTCATAATAATTAATAAAACACACAATGCTGGCCTAACCACAGATTATAAATTAATAAGAATATTAACATGTTTCATATTAAACAATTATCTTTAATAAAAATTATATTACATTAAATAAACCTCTATAAATACTTGCTTTAAAAGTAATAAATACTTTATAATTGATTCTTTTTTCTTTAAAATTTTTTCTTATTAATAATAATAAAAGATAGCATTTGACTTTTCTTGATTACCAATAATCAAGTTTTAATTAAAGAGATTTATAAACAAGAAAGAAGACTTTATTAATCAAAAAGTTAAAGAACTTTTGGCAAACATCTTTTTTAGGTATAATCAGAAGATCAATAGAAAGAGCTGTTTTTCTATCTATTTGCTTGATCAAAAGTATAATAAATTCAACGTTTATATTTGCATATTCTAATCTATTTTTATACATGACCCCGCACAAAAAACTGGTTTCATTATTATAGATTTATTTTACGCAGTCTCGATCTTTTCACATTTGCTTTATGTCACTTAAACACAAAGTTATATTTGTTAGTGGTGCCTCTCGGTGAGCAATTGCCATTGAGATATTTTTAAGTAGCAAGTTTCCTAATACTCTATATTTTTCAGCGGCATCGGCCTTGCGATAGCATTGAGAGCTGCCAAGGACGGAGGGTAAGTGAAACTTTCGAATTTTAGTTACCCGAATTTTCTAATCACAAAATAACTTTGATTAGATACATCGCAGTGGTTGCAAAGACCGCAAAACCGCATCCTAAAGTAGAATACGAGTTTTTTTTGCTGGAAATAAAATTTATCTTTTAGTATGTTAGAAATAACATTTAATGTCTTCGTAATATTCTTAGCTTCCCGGAACTGTTTACACCGCGGCGCAAGAAATTGAACGTGCTGGCGGAAAGGGTATTATAATACAAATTCAATTAAACACTATTTTTTAATATAAATCGTTAACGCCAAATTAAATATTCATGTAGCCCTTCCAATTGTATGTGATATTCGTGACGAAGAATCCGTAGCAGCTGCTGTCCAAAAGACTGTTGATACGTTCGGTGGAATTGACATAGTTATTAATAATGGTTTGAAATCATTTTCTAAAGTGCAGTTATCTTATCTTTTCCTTATCTCTTTCACATTATTATTTGTATTCGTTAGCTTCCGCGATATCTCTTACGGACACACAAAATACAACCCTTAAGAAATACAACCTTATGCACGAAATCAATGCGCGTGGAACATGGTTGGTGACAAAGGTACTGAAATCTCTCTTGTTGAAATATTTTTCGTTGCAGGGTCGAAGTCTCATCAACGAAATATTTTTAAAAAGTACGCTCTTCCGCACTTGATTGAAAGCGGAAAGAAAAATCGGAACCCACACATTTTGAATATTAGTCCGCCGCTTTCTATCAAGGAAAATTGGTTTTCTAATCATGTTGCATACTCGATTGCTAAATATAACATGTCACTATGCATTTTGGTAATGTGTTTTCTTTTTTTGAATATCACGTCGATATTTCGGTCATGTAACAAAATCATGTTGACAGGGCTGGGCAGGGGAATTTAGAGACTACGGAATTGCTGCAAATGGTATGTCGTCTTATGTGCGGAGAATTATTGCGATTTTTCACGAGGGCTTGACTAATTTTGTGTAAAATGTTCATTTAGCTCTTTGGCCCTTGACTGTAATTGATACAGCAGCATTACAAGTTATAGGTAAAATGTTGGATCATTTAGTTAGATTACTAAAATAAATAATAATGAATATCAAAATCCGTAGATAAATCTGTTCATATGTTTTCAAGAACTCCAGAAATAATGGCAGATGCGGCACATTTGATCCTTACTAAAAATTCCAAAGAATTCAGGTAAGAAATTTTTATTACGAAACATCATATTCACTGTGTTTGTTCATACCCTAATATTTCGCGATAAATGAATATTTGTTCATCTACAAACAAGTGGCAACTTTGTGATTGATGAAGTGATCTTAAGAGAGCATGGTCAAACAGAATTTGATCACTATTCTGCTGTTCCTGGTAACAAAAGTCTTAAAGAAGATTTTTTTGTTGATGAAGAAATAGTTAGTAAAATGAGAACCTTGTGGAAAGAAGAATCGCGTAAGAGAGGACCAAGATTATAATATTTCAATACGAGGGTTTTGATTTCAAATAGAATTACCATTATTTAATAAAAAGTTTGCTCGAATGTTTTGAATATGAGGCATTATCGCATACCCGATTAGTGATATTTTTATTTTTAGATATGGTGTATCCAAAGTTTTAACAAGAAATCAATTAAAAACTATTCAATTTTAATGTTAAGTAATTTTAATTTTAATTATTGTACTTTTGGTGTTTTCTGTTTCTTCCCTCGTTTGGTCGCTTTGTTCGTTTCTGTTTCACCATCACCTTCATTTTCATCATCTTTTGAAGTACTTGCATCGTCTTTATCAGCATCTTTGTCATCTGGAGTTGGTGCGTCAGTTTTTTTGTGTTGTGCAGAAATCTTAAGGAGAAAAGGATAAATATCGGTGAATTATTTTCATACAAATAAAAAAGTTTTTTTAATAAATCATACCTTTTTTGCGGGTGTTATTAAACTGAACAGTAATCTGAGAAGCGCAAAGAAAACAATAATCACAGCTGATAAACCAGCTACGACAAATGGTTTTGTCTTGATAGATTCCAATGGATCATCGAGGAAGGCCTCGATAAATTCATCAATCTGTTGTCGAAGGAATTTAACAGGATCATCCAAAAATGAAACAGTTGGCTAAAGGTCGAGATCATCAAAATCAAAATTAATAATATAATACAAAACTCGAAAAGAAGAAATAATGCATAAACGTACTTCATCATCTAAAATTTTATTGGATTTTTCTTCTTCTTCCTTTTCGATCTTGTACTTAACTCCCCAAGTTTCTTCGGCAAATTTTTGTGCATCTTCCTCAGAATGACCGATGTAGATATTATCAAACAAAATATCGTTTTGCATCGTCCAAATCTCGAATCCAATGGCAGCCTAAAACAGCAATTGAATTAGGATGAGAAAAAGTGATAAATATTAAAAACTATATATGAATACTCACAATCTTTTCAAAATCAGAGGGAGTTAAATCTTCAAAGAACTTCGGGTTGGGAATCTTACGAGGTGCCCATAGACCCTTATATTTAGGGTTGTCAATTTCTGGTGGATACCACTTACCCTTGTAATTAGGATTTCTCTTTGTTGGTCGTTTCCATTCACCACATCCAGGTGCTTCGTCGCATTTTGGATTGGGAACGCTCGCGGGAATCCAATCACCATCTTCCTCGTCATCCCAATCATCAGGCTTTTTTGCCTCTGGGTCGGGAATGGTCAAGGGTTCATCATCGAGCCAACCTTCTGGCTTTACAGCATCTTCATCAGGGATTTCAAGAGGTGCGTCTTCATCCCTAATGATTACTCGATTTAAAAGTCCGATTTTCCATGAAGCATTGCATTGGTCCAAACCGTTTTCAAAAACTTACCAGTCATCAGGTTTTTTCGCATCTGTTATCAATGGAGTTCATGAGTGTGATGGTGATCTCATATCAATACAAAGAAAAAAATTTTTTTTACCTGGATCGGGTATTTTTGGATTATCAACCCAATCATCTGGTTTCTTATCTACAATCAATTTAAAATCAAAGTTAACTACCAAAGAATACATAACATGGATATGTTTATCTATATGTACCATCAGGGTCATCAATTTCTTTTGGGGGGTTAATCTCTGGTGAAAAATCTTTGAAGAGACTTCCAGTTTTGACTGTTTCATTATTAATTAGAATTTCGAATGTGTTGTTGGGTCTGGAAGAAATAGCGCTTTTAATATGGAAATATGCAATTAGATAATCAACCATTAAGCATTCTACAAACGAACCTCACGATTAGCCCATATAAAGTGCTAAGCTTGCTTACTTTGACCGAAGGAGGACTTGTCATATGCTTTTCTTCATATTCGCCAGTTAGTGGATTTTTGTGTCGGAAGATAAAGTGAACTTTATTGGTGCTACCACACCGATCGGGCCCAAACATAATCGTATAAGGTGTCTTATCCGAAAATTCAACAGCCTGAATTCCATTTTCTGACTCAGTTAAAAGTTTCATATAGGCACCTCCACATTCAAGTCCATTTTGAAGTTTAACTTCATATCTAAAAAACCATAAGTAATTAAAGTAATTAGACAAATCCTTACAAAAGTAGATTTATTTATATTTGAGTCTTACTCACTGGACTACTAATGTCTTGCCTTTGTTATCCAACGGCGTTTTTAAAAGAGCGGATATCGCATGATGAGCGGCGGGTGTTTTTATAACTAGGCCCTTGTCGCCTTTTATGGCAGGATAAATTTTTGGCTCTTCGACCTTCCACTCCCCAACGTAACTGAATATTTCGCCACCATCATTATTCTCTTTTGTGGATTCACTTTTTGACCAACGGGTTGACCAATCGTCTGTGAATTGTTCAAGAAAAGGTGCTTTTATAGTGGTGGGCTAATAGAGAAGGTGAAAAGTAAGATAAGTAAACTTGTTCAATAAAAAAGATAAATGATATTTTCAATGTGATTAATGTTTTAAGAACTCGGATGATGTCCATAAAAAATGCGTACAGTAAAAAAATGATTGATCAAGATTCTTTCTTCCTACCTTAAACTCAGGCCTATTTTCTACAACTACCACTTCTTCACTACAGACACAAACTGTAAGTGCCGATGCAATAAGGAAAGCAAGAGTATGACGAGTGAACTTCATCGTTTACGGAAAACTGGCATTCAAGACAGTTAAACCAAAGACTGAATGATAAAGTTTTGTTGAGTATTCTTTAAGCTAAAAGTACTACGTAGATTTTTTGGTGTTTATATAATTAAATTGGTTATATATGTGGAATGCTCCGATTCGTCACTCGTTCTCATAATCATGCGTGTCAACTTCTGATTCGTTTATTTTCTCTTATTTTTTTTTGTAGATACTGATGTGCATTCAAATCTATAGAATCGAAAATCCCGTATAAATCAGGTTTTTCTTCGTTTAAAATGATTTGTTTTTATTTTTTTTATTTAATAGGTATATACGGTGAAACCCAATGAAAAAAAAAAATCTTGATATAGTGAAATAGGTCCAAAACAGATACAATAAATTTTACCTGATATAACGGATTATAATAAATATTATAAATAACGGAATTTTCTTTGCTGCAAGGGTTATGTTATACTGAGGTTCTTTGTGTACACTGAAATTTGATATTAGCGGAATTTTGATGCGGTTCAAAACAATTACATTAATAATAAAACGGAATTTTACTAATAGAGCTCAATGTAGATTTTATGTTCCATTCTTTTCTAGAAATTCATTTAAATAATTTCTAAATATAGTAAGAAATAAAGATTAAAATAATTTTTTTTATTTACAGCATATCTATTATTATATAGTACTATTCAATTAATTAATAGGCGATTAATATAAAAAAATTTCTTTTCTTGTTTATATCAAAAAAATTTTTATCTTTTATTAGGCTAGCTATATGTGCTTTATTAAATATTTATTAATAATTAATTTATTTATCTTTATTAATCTACTTTATCTATAATTCAAATCAATACTCTTTCTAAAATTCGTTTTCTTACAAATCAGATTTTTGAAAATTTCTATCTTTTTTTATAAATAAACAAATATAAAATTAAATAACTTCCAATTTTATTGAAAAATTAAAGCATAATTCTAGATTAAATAAACAATATACTTTTTTTTAAAAAAATATTATACAAATAGTAATATTATCAATAACAGCTCTAATAATTGTTATAATAAAAATATAATTACTTCAAGTAATTTAAACATTTATAATAATAATAAAAAAATATTTTCTAATTTTTTTATCAAAGCATTAAAATCATTATCAAAAATTTTTAACAAAATAACAATAATATATTATTAATATTATATAATTTTAATATTAAAGAAATTTGATTAATAATTCAAAGAGATTTAATTAAATTAAAATATGACTCAAGATAATTATGTTTGTATTAAATAAAAATTATTTATCTTTTATATAAATTTCAATATTTTATAAATTAAACTATATGATATAATAGAAAACATTATAAAATATTTATTTTTATAAATAAAATCTTGAATAAAAATAACAATATCAAATTTAAACTTATATAAAAAATTTTTTTGTTTAAAATTATTTATCTTATTTAGTTTCAATAAATTGATTAAATTAATAATATTATTACTTTTTTAATATTAAAAAAATCTAATAATATAAAAATAAATAAAAATACAACTATATATATATATATTTTTTTTTTAACCCGCAGTCAGGTCAATATGACTTGTCCATTTTATTGTAAACATATTTGGTATTTACATATTTTAT